CATGGAGCTGCAAATATTGCCCTCAATTGAAAAATGTAATTGACTATGAACAGGTATCATGTGTCTTTATTGGCAGTCTCGTTTGCACTGTTCTAAGAACATTGAATAATCATTCCTGGTGGGAAAAGCAGCAACCTAGGTAGCTCCATTGTGAGCAACTTAAAAATATTTCTAATAAAGGCTGTTCATGAAACAAACTAAATTATTTTAAAAATGCAAGGAGCACAGCATAAATGAAATTGAGTTTTGAAAATCCTATTTGTAATAATATTTTTAAATGACAGTTACAACATTCTTCCTTTTGTCATATGCACTAGCCCACTTGAAGAACTCCAATTTCTAATCTCATGTAAGGACACAACTGAAACATGTATAATCTCAGAACAGCCCCTAGGGGCCAGGGGTGAGTTTATGAAAACAGAGCGTGTGGCCAGTGATCTCCTGCTCTCCCACTTAAGCCTGAGCCACTGACAGTATCCAAAGTCCTTTCTGTGGTCCACACTGACTCTGAGCCTGCACAGCACTCTATAGGATATGGTGTGGACTATGCTTTATCTTCTACTATTGCACTGTTTACACCACAGATTCCACACCAGTCTGACATGTCCTGCTGAGGCATTCTTAAAATAATAAAATGGAGGAAACTGCAATCTTAGGACTTCTCAACAAAGTCTCTAAAGACCTTATACAAGTATTTATCAACCTTTTCCATCCACATGAAAGTCATGGTGATGCAGATAACATCAGATGGGGCAGAATCAGTTTAACAGATACATTTGCCACTTCAATTAAAAGTCTTCCTTGCCCATGACCTCACTTCCACCCTTGGTCTAATTTTCTTCAGCCTCTAGACATGTGATCCAATGCTAATTAATTTAAAATCCTCTGGAAAAAGTAGAAGATATTAAGCTATATAAATATCTAGGATTAGTAGAGCTGCTTATAATACCAAGCTTATCCCAACTTACAATGCTATGAGGACACACTGGTATCCAAAGCCATCCATTAATATTCTGCACTGAGCTACATCTTAACAAGGATCTATTATTTTCTGACTTCACAGAATGCAATTTAGGTGGACTAACAAGGAGTCCCTGGGTGGCACAGTGTTAAGCGCTAACCTACTAACCAACAGGTTGGCAGTTAGAACCAACCCAGAGGTACCTCAAAAGATAAGCCTTGCATCTGCTTTAAAACCCATGTAGCAGTTCTACTCTGTACCCGTGGATCAGAATATACTCAACAGCAACTGATTTGGATTTTTTTGTTTGTTTTGTTTTTTAACAGCAAGCCAGATGGTAAGAGGCCTACTCTGATGGGGGCAGAGAGGCAGAAGGACATGTGAGTGCTGTCAGAGAAACATCAAAAAACAAGCAGAAAGTGCCAGAACCAACTATGTCAGAACTCTGGAAAATAGTCAAAGGCTTACAGCAACTAAGTGAATGCTGAATCAAGATAAAGGGAACTTAAAAACAGTAGGAGAGCTTAGTGTCTTTTTCACATACCTGCCTCACTGTATTCCCAGCTGGGAGGCAGAGCAGCCCATGTTCCCAGTGTGGGAGTCTGATCCCTGGTTCCAGACGGAGAAAAGATGATCTTATTCACAAATTATTGTGTATGTCTGCTCTAACCTGTCTGGGGACTACATGAGACATTGACAAAGGTGTATGTCTCTGTTTTGCCAAATTATGGACTCACACAGGCCACAAATAAAAAGCAGTGGACATTGTTTGAAAACACTATCAGGCTATAAAACAACCTACAGATGCCTGAGGCAAAAGACTGAGGTTGGACATACAAGAGACTGCCTAAAGTTTGAAAGGAATGCTGGGAGAGTTTTTTGGGAAATCAGGACATTCAAAAACACCCCTGCCTACAGGTATGATATTCTCCCTTTAAATGTTGTCTTGACTCAGTTTTGAGGGGCTGACTGGAGATCAGTTTGGTTTTCTTCTTGAGGAGATGATTAAGTCCACTCCCCAGCCACTCCCCTTATCAGGTTCTCACACTCCTGGGGCACTCTGCACCTGTCCTAATCTCCCTGGGGCCAGACACCCAATAAGCAGGGACAGCCCCTATGCCTTCTGAGCCTGCAGAATATTAAAAATGCCTAATCTCTAGGAAGTTCACCAAACCTAGTTAATCTCATGCTGCTTGCCATGCGTAAACTCTCTCCTACAATTTCAGCTTGTTATTGCCTTGTCCCTGAATATAACTTTATGCAGTCCTGCATTAAGGCATACTGTAGTTTTCACCTCATACTGTGGACCTGTGAGTAATATATTCTATTTGTTTTCTGGTCTTCCTGTGTAAGTCTCACTTCCTTATACCACACCTGACAGACCATTCAAGACACCCACAGACCCTTTTGGGTCAAACTGAAACAACAGGGAAATTTTTAAAGCCACATGCATGCCCAGGGCAGGACCAATGTTCAGAAAAGACCTGAGAAGACCTTAAGCTTGTATCTCAGATTGATCTCTAGGCTCAGAATAAGTGTGGCTAGGTGTTAAAGGAGAGCCCCAGCACAGAGACAATCTGCAAAGACTGGGAGAGGAAAAGTTTTTTCTCAGCTCTCTGTCAAAATCCTAGCTGAACACAATTTAAAGGAACAGAGACTTCAGTGACCACACACAACAAAGAATACAATCTTTATACCTCTCCTCAAAAAATTAAATAAATAAATAAAATTGTATGAAAAAAAAAATCACTAAACAAATGGACTACTATTGTCCAACTATCAAAATCACAGGAAACCTTGGGGTGAAGGAGAATTTCCAGAATTACCACATAGTAATATTCAAATGTCCAGTTTTCAACAAAAAATCATAAGCTATACAAAGAAACAGGAAAGGATGACTCATTATAAGGAAAAAAAATAAAGTGACAGAAGTTATTCCTGAGGTAGCCAGCCATAGGACTTACTAGATGAAGAGTTCAAAACAACTATCTTAAATATGTTGAAAGAGCTAAAGAAAAATACAAAGAACTAAACAAAATCAAGAAAACAATATATGGACAAAATAAGTTCAATAAAGAGAAAATAATAACTTAAGTGAATTATTTTACTGCCTTTGCCTTTAATTGTAAAACTCAGAAGAGACTTCCAACACTGCAAAGTACACAGTTTGATACACACTTTTTTTCCCCACTGAGTGGGTTTTCTTTAGATTAGATGCAGAAAAATTACAGGATCTATGCTTTTCTCTTAACCTTCATATGAATAGCAGAAATATTAGAGAAGCTTCGATAGCAGAAATATTAGAGAAGCTAGTTACTTCTTAAAATTGGCAGTATTTTCCCTATGATAAATATTCAAAACATGTATTTGTCAGCTGTTTCTTCCTGAATTTTAATAAGAACTCTTGCTATCCTTAGCACCTTAAAAATCAGGAGAAAAATTTATCCTTCTTAATCATATCCATCTACTAATTATAATTAGCTAAACTATGCAGCATTCAAGAGTTTGGCCCAGTTTTCTCTCTATACCCCACTGACCCCATCTTTGGCAGGAAAAAATCCTGCCGTTCTAGAGGAGGCAAAAAACAATTATACTTGTGTACCCTCTGTTACCTTAACAAAGGAGTAACAACCAAAAAGAAAATACTATGCTAGAATTAAGTACAAAAACACAGCATCCTCAATTTTATTCACCAATAATCAGGACCTACAGAACCACACAGCACAGATGGACTAATTTCTGCTTCCATGAATTTTAAATCGCCTTTTACAACATTTCCCTGGTGCTGATGAGCTAATGTTCCACAATATGTTGGTTTGTGAATTCAAGCAACTGTGCCTTCCACTCAGCTTCTCCATTCAGCCTTAGCCACACACTGAACACTGGCTATAAAAACCTACTTAAAAGAAAAATCAAGTTATTTTGAAATGCCATACACAGCAAAGACAGCCTCTAAGTGCACATTAGACCGCCTATGGAAGGTGACATTTGCATTTGCCTCACTCTCATGGTCCTACAGCATCATATGAGGGCAGCAGCACAAGAATAAAGTTGGGAATGTGTTGCCTGATGTGACTTTTAATGATTAATTGGAATAGGAACTTTCACTCCCACACATCATGGTTTCTGAGAGAATTAAGTGTGTTCTCCTTTGTTTCTGCCAGTGGCCTGCATCACAAGCTACATGTTGTGACTTAGGCGGATGAGGCAGTTACACAAGATGGGGGCCCTGGTGTTCATATATACCCATGTTTAAAAGGCAGATGTGACAATAATTTAAAGAATTTCAACCAATTTTATATGCTCAAATCCATGAGGTTGTTTTCATGATATCTGTTATAAGAAAAAACAAACCGCTAAGTTTATAGTCAAAGGGCCCAGAACAATGTAAGGAGAGGTTTTTATACCAACCATGTGTATATACTGTAATATACAAAAGGAGATCAACTTCCTAAGTTTACAATATTTCAGAAAACAATAGGTTTAATATATCAATGAGACTTCTGACTTCCTTTATTCAAAAATAAAAGAGACACAAAAATACAGAACTGAGATGTCATCTAAAATAGCAGGATCACCAAAAGTTTATAAAAACAAACATGCATTTGAGGCGATTAATTATAATTACTAGAGAAAGATGGGATTGTTTTTCAAAATAAATGTATCTCAGGAAAAGGATGACCAATGGTATAGATGGTTATTTAATCTCCCATTTTTACAGTGAACCTACAGGTCAGAGAAAGTCTGAGTAGCAAGAAACCATCTTAAGAATTTCCAGGTATAGCAGGTATGAGTACCCTTCTAGAAGGATGGTGTCTTTTCAAATTTACGTTTGGAAAGATTAACCACCTATCCACAAGTATTTCATTTGTAAGAGGAACTTATGTAAAATACATATGCAAATTTGTGTCCATCTCTAGTCAATCACATTTTGTCATCTGTAACTCACAGCATATAGTTTTCAAAACGCAAACTGAGGGGCATGGGGACAGGGAAGGAAAACTGGCATTTTCACCAAATCATCCGTGGCCAAACACCCCTATGTGTCATGCTCCAGAACCCGCAGATCTTCCAGGAGCTCCTGGGCCACGCTCTGGAGGTGGGGGTTGCGGCTCTTTGACATTGCCAGGATGCGCTGCAGAGGCAGGGAACTCCGGAACTCAGAGGCTGATTTGGACAAGACTTCTGGTTCCAGAACCACAGACTGGACCAGACGCAACACATGAAGGCATACTTCAGCATCTGGATCTACAGGAAGCAGAGTAAAACTTTCAGTTAGAATAAAACTTCCTACGATATCTGGGGACAACTAACCTTTGAGGGGTTCTTGGCCTTTATGAATGACACTTTTGAAAACTATCGCTGACTCAAAAACAAAATCACTTATTGATGTAAAAGCTTAGTTCATAGGAGGGGCATGAGAAAACTCATTCATTCACTATTACGATCATAATTTGAAAATGCTGAGCTAAAAATACGAGATATGAGAGTTTTTCATGTTGTCTGCTATACTTCTGTCCATTTATGAGATTTTTAAAAAGGTAATTCTTCATTCTCACTCTGATTGCTGCAAATCCATCCAAGGCCACATACAAATCCACTGTCATTGAGTCCATTCTGACTCATTGTGACCCTACAGGATAGAGGAGAACTACTTCATAGGGTTTCCAAGGCTGTAAATCTTTACAGAAGCAGATTGCCTCATCTTTTTCCCATGAAGCAGCTGGTGGGTTCAGACTGCTGAACTTTTGGTTAGCAGCTATCTTAGTTCTCTACTGCTGTTATAAGAGAAATACCACAAGTAGATGGCTTTAACAAACAGAAATTTATTCTCTTACAGTTTAGAAGGCTAGATGTCTGAATTCAGAGTACCGGCTCTAGAGTAAGATTAGGCTAGAAATCTGAGTTCAGAATGCCAGCTCTAGGGGAAAAGTTCCTCTCTCTGGATTCTGGGTAGAAGCCTCTTGACCTTGGGCTTCAACTCTGTCTTCCACACCCACTGGAGCAAGCTGGAGATGTCTCCTGACTCATACAGCTGTAGGAGCTGATGAACTCAAAATTGACAGGCAGTATCTGCTGAGGCTAATGAATCCTTGTTGGCTTACAGGTTCTGAAGGCAACAATCTCTAGATTGGCAGGCAACATGCAAGGCCACTGGCTCAAGTCCAGGAACTGGAGACGATGACTGGGCCAAATACTGGATCCATTCCACATACACTGGAAGTAGGCCACACCACAAAGGTAACCTTCCAAAGGTAACTAACTGATTAACTGCTGACAGCAGATTCCACCATGGAGGTGATTTTACTACATCCAGTCTCATCACAGGGAATAACTACATCCAGCTGCCAAGCCACTCAAAATCACAGCCCAGCCAAATTGACACATGACCTTAACTACCACAGCCACCAAATACTTTAACCACTATGCCACAACAGCTCCTTCAGACTACGTACAGATATACTTATATTCTGGGCTACTGAGTCACACAGTGCTGTGGGACATAATATTCACATTCTATTCCATTATTTTCCATGTGAATGCTCCTTGAGTTACAGAACCTGCTTGTTGTTCTTGTGTGCCCTTGAGATGATTCCAACTCACAGAAACCCTACAGGACAGAACAGAACTACCCCACAGGGTTTCCTAGGGTATAATTTTTACAGGAGCAAATCATCAGGTCTTTTCTCCTGTGGAGCAGCCAATAGGTCTGAATCACCAACCTTTTGGTTAGCAGCTGAGCACTTAACCATTGAACCACCAACATAACCTGGCAGCCCTGCATATACTGTAGTAATCACTATAAAACAGGCAGACAAACAACAGCCCAAATCCAAGGTTATACTTTGTAACCAAGATGAAACTAACTCTCCTTACCTTTTCTCCCTATGGGGGACTTTGAACATACTATTAATTCACTTCTGCATTGGGCACTGTAACTGAATAAGGCTCAAAATCAAGAAATCTTTCTTAGTACTACAATTACTCAAAAAGCTTTTAAAGTAATAAGAGGGTTAAAAGAATGGACAGAATAAACCCTCAGAGGTGCAGGCCTAGAGTAGGGGAGAGGCATAGCCCCAAGCCTCGCCCTGGCTCTTCTCCTCTACAGAATAAGAGCCCAAGGTTGATGGAAAAGGGCAACAAGCCCTGTTAGATGCAAGGTATAGCCGAAAACTCATTGTGGCTGGAGGAATAGAATCATCCCCTCTACACTGAGGGAGAGGCAAGGCAAGCCTGGCCCAGACCACTAGGCCTCTTCCTGGGGAAGGGGCACAAATCTGCCAAAGATACTTGGGCAGAGTGCAACTGTCTCAGGGTGGTAGGGGATGAACACTGGGAAAGCCCCACCACCCAGATGCTGGTGAACAGGGCCTGCCTGAAACTGAGGCTGAACTAAATAATAGAGAACTCTGCTCCATCCTCCACCACTTGTCCAGCAAACACTTATTGTCTATCAAACCCAATAACAAGTAAGAGCAGCCGACAGCATGGGGAAGAGCAAGAGAATGGAACCTCTCTGAGGCACAGGTGCAGAGGCAAGGCCAAAAGCTGAGGATGGGGCAACAGCACTGTGAAAAACCACTGTCAATTCAGCTCTCCTTCAAGCACAAGGAAAGGTTAGAGGAATATGAAGCCAGTAGTGCACTGAGGGTAACCATAGCAACAGCAACAAAAGCCAGCTCAAACCCCTACACTAACAGCCTAGCAGAAGAAGAGATGTGGCCATTTCCAGAAATAAATACTATTTATTTCATTCTCTACTGCAAGAATTGGTAAACTGCAGCCAAAAGCAGCCTGTGGCCTGTTTCTATACAGGCATGAGCTAAGAACGCCTTTTATTTTCTCAAAGCATTGTTTAAAAAAAAAAGAAGAAGAAGAAGAAAGAGAGAAGGATACTATGCAATAGAAATGATATGTGGCCCTCAACATTCAAAATATTTATTATCTGGCTTATAACAGGAAAAGTTTACTGACCTTTCCTCACAATATACAGCACGTAATAAAAAACTACAATGAAAAATCAAGGGGTGGTAGAAGAACCACTTTCAAACAATAAAATAATCAACAAAAACAGACTAAAAAAATGATCCAGATATTGACAAAATCAGAAAGGACATTTAAAATAAACATGATTAATAGATGGGCATACTCTGTTTTAAGCTTCTTATACCACACATGAAACAGTATAGTATTATTTAAAGATAAACCAAAAAACTAAAATAGACTGGAATTAAAGATTATATTATAAACACTAGAGCAAACACTAAAAGAAAATTTTTTAAAAATGTAAATGATAAGCCAACTGAGCAGATAAAGTGAAATACTTACGAAAGTATTCAATACAATAGCAAACCAAAAAAAAACTAAAAGCACATCAAACCTACAACACACAAAAGGAAAAAAAAAAAAAAAAACGATAAGAGCAAAAGTCAATGCAATTAAAAACAAACAAACAAAAAAATATCACAATCAGAAAAAAATAATATAACCAAAAGCTGATCCTTTACAAAGTGTATACAAAGCGGTAAACCTCTAGACATAGTAATCAAGAGAAAAAGAGATAAGATAGACAAAAACTACAAATATCAGGAATGAAAGAGGTGAGATCATTATAGATCCTACAGATAAGAAAAGGATAATAAGGTAATATTATGAACAAATTTATGTTCATAAATTTGACAACTTGGACAGAATTAACAAATTCCTTGGAAGGTACAAGTTACCAAAACTCACTCAAGAAACAACAAAAAACCTGAGTAATCTTTTATCTATTAAATTGAGTTCAAAATGTTCCAACAATCAAAGTCCCAGTTCCAGACAGTTTCACTGGCAAATTCCATGAAATATTAATGAAGAAATAATACCAGATTTACTATAACTATAATTACTATTCATTCTACTATAACAGAATTTTTTTTTTATGTCTTCTAGAAAATAGAAATGGAAGGAACAAATCTAAATTTTGTAATGAGACCAGGATTACCCTGATACCCAAACTAGAAAAAGACATTACAATAAAAAATTAGACTAATCCCTCATGAACATAAACACAGAAATCCTAAATTAAATATCAGCAAATTGAATGCAGCAATTTTTATATAAAAAATGGTAATACTTCATGGACAATGGTATTTACCCTAGGACTGTGAGGTTGGTTCAGTATTTATAAATGAATCAATGTCATTTACCACAACAGACTAAAGAAGAAAAATCAAGTAATTATCTCAACAGATTCAGAGTCTAGACTTCCGGTAAGATGGAGGAATAGGCAGACAAGTGACACAGACCCTCTTCAACAAAGAAAAGAAAAACCAGTTGACAGAGATACAGAAGATAATCCTGGAACCCAGAGCTTTGAAAGGAACTATACAGAAGTGGATTAAGCACCAACTAGTGGAAAAACCTGAACGAAAACAGTGAGTACAGAAACAGTCGGAGCTGCGGACTGTCAGCTACTCTGACGAGACCAACAGCCTAAATATTTCCAAGTGGTGTTGGGAGCTGAGAACTGACCTAAAGATCAGTCCTGGTCACCAAGGACTGCAGGGGCAACTGCTCTGGTGGCCTATGACTAGGAAGGGAAACAGCAAGGAGGGAGACAACCTGAGCTGTGGACTTTCTGCTGTCTAGAGGGCATAGCCATTTTGATTGTCTACACATGGCAGCCATTTTGGATATTTAAAGTGACTGAGAGTGCAGCCATTTGAATATTTACATGTGGCAACCATTTTGGATTTAAAAGTGATAGCATATGAATCTCATTCAGATTCCAGGGACCTAAGAACAGGCTCTGTTTCCCAGGGTCAGCAAGGACATACGAGAGGCTGACAAAGGAAAGGAGACAGGTGGTGAGTGAGTAGGTGCTGTCAACTAGTGAATAGAGGAGCACAGCACAGTATAGATAACATACAAACAAAACAAAGAAAACGAAAATTGTGGGCAAGTCACTCTAACATAAAATCACCAATTAAATATAAACACAAAAATGTCACAATGCCTCAGAGACAACAGAGCATCACAGTCCACACAAAGAACTAAGATAAAGCAGGAGAAACAAGGGACCAGGATACAGACCCAAAACACATCCCTGAGGAAGACACAGCATTGGAAATCCCTGATAAGGAATTCAAAAGAATTATATTTAGGTATCTTCAAAGGATTGAGAGACAGACCAAGGAAACCACAGGAAAAAAAAACCTTAGAAGAGTTTCAAAAGAAAATACAAGGACAAAATGACAAAATAAATA